ACTCAGCTGTCACAATATGGAAACAAACATCAATGTCACCATCAGAGGACACACCATGAGAGCACTCTGCCCTCCAATTCTGTGATTACGGACATATGTCTCTGTGGAGTGTGCTCGTGTGTGTGTGTGTGTGTGTGTGTGTGTGTGTGTGTGTGTGTGCTCTGTCTGCAGGTCCATGTCATACGTGGGAAAGTGCTTATAGAGGACACGGAATGCTGTCACGTGTCTTCCCTACCAATATACACATTGTCATATGAGACAGGGTAACTTTATGTTCAGGCGTTGTTCATAAGATGAACTCACCACAGGGGAAGCCTTCCACAGTGCTGAGACGGAGTGCTCAGCAGAGTTTGGGAAAGCATGGCTGTTCCTCATGCTGCACTCAGGCACAGAGGAATGAGCTGGACAGAGGTGTGGTCAAGCCTCTGTTATCTCATGTAATAGCTCATTGCCAAGGTAAAGGCTGTGGTGTTGATGTGAGGGGACTCAGTGTCTGCTGGGGTGGGCTGGGATTCAGAAAGAGTTGCTTGTAGGTGTGCAGTGAGGTTTGGGCTATGTGGTGGGAAAAATACGTACAGGATTCCTGGAATGAGGGCCTAATTACCAGTGTTTATACTGAAAAGTGGGAGGGTGTGATGTGTGAGACATGATGTGGTCCTTGGATTGACCTTTAATGGGACCTGTGCTACAGCAGTAGAAAAAAGTTGCAGTATCAGTGGAATGTGTGCCAAGAAATTGTCAAAATAAGGACTCAGGGAGATGACACCCACAACTCATCGGACGATGAGGCCCAGGGATGGCCACCCCCAGCCTGTACTGCAGACTCTACAGGATGAAGTTCTGCTGTTGTGCTGTTCTCCAGTGAGTGACACTCTCAGAAGTCATCGACTACCATTGCATGGCCAGGTACAGAAATTTCAAGACATCTAGCTGTGACTAATGGTGGTGAAGGAACAGTTTGCAGGACAAATTTATCAATCAGTTTGGTACCCAGGGCCCAGAAGATGGCACACTCCAAGTTTCATGATGAGAGAAACTTGCTGATAACCAGAGCATCAGAAATGATAAGCCAAGAATTATACTTTGCACATGGGTACTGAGTATGCACACCTCATTCCCACTGGACTTGCTCTTCCCAGGGGTAAAGTTCCCTAGAGAAAGGAGGCATAGAACTGAGCTTTTTTTTCCATGAAATGCTCATAAAAGATGCCTTCAGATACTTCCCATAAGTACTAGCCCAAAATATACCCATGAGCCTGGACAGCCTTTGAGATTTCCCAACAGTGAGGCCTGGCCTCTGTGACCTCACATGAGGGTCACTGTCATGGTTAAAGGTGTGTGCTATATCTAAGGGCAGCAGAGTCAGAGTAGGCAGGGAATTGAACCAAGGAGAATGTGGGCAGGGATGCATTTCAGGTAAGTGACTAAAGAAAATTCTTTAGGTGAAGAAGTGATCTCATGATCACATACATATATTGTGCCAGTATATGTAGTTGGCAGGGGGATTTCTGGAAAGGGGTTTTAAAGGCACAATTCAGTGTCTGAGGGGTTTTTGATGGACAAGACAGATGTGATCTTCAGAAGAATTGCGATTCAAGGACCAGAAAGAGATCCTCACAAAGCATGGCCATGCACGACATACAGGGACAAGACACCATATACAAATCAGGAAAAGAGGCCCTATGAAGATTTGCACAGCCTCCAATGCCTTAGCAAGGCATCCTCAAGACACATAGAGGACTACCCTCTATTGTAACTACCTATGATATTCCTTCATGGGAGGGTACCACAGGAAGAAAATGCAGCAAGATGTCTTGTTGGGACTCTCTTGTGGATCTCATAACTCAGAAGCACCAAACATTAGACATGAGTTCATGGGCACTCTCCACCACATGGCCAGTGAGCTGTGTAACAAGAAGGTCTTTTCTTTTTTTTTTT